GATGGTCGCTGATGCCTTATTTAGTTCACTTGGTGAGGTTTTGTCTTCCTGGATGTTCTTGATGCTTTGAATTCTCATCAATGTCTGAGCATCAATTAGGCATTTATTCTAATCTTCAGTCTTGGCTTATTTGTATCCATCCTTCTTGAGAAGGCTTTCCAGGTATTGAAAGGGAATTGAGTCTAAGTCTTTGGTTACTGCAGCCATATTAGCACTAGCAGGCCACCAAAGCCCAGTAATGCTGTGACTCTTGCAGACTCCTGGTGGTACTGCCTTGGTGGACTTGGGTTAGCTATGGGAGAATTCCCTGGATTTCCAAGCAAAGTCTCTCACTGTTTACCCTAACCTTCCCCCAAACAGAAGGAGGCTCACTCTCCATGCTGGGTTGCTTGGAGTTGTAGGAAGACTGACATGAGCACTCCTGCCTAGCCACCACAGCTGTGACTGTGCTGGGTCATATCTGCGGCCAGCCCAGTTTCACCCAAGGCCTGTGGTGACTACTGCCTGGCTACTGCTGATGTTTATTCAAGGCCCAAGGGCTCTTTAGTCAGTAGGTAGTAGATCTTGCCAGGACTGGGTCTTTCTCTTTACAGCAGTGGATTTCCTTCTAGCCTAGGGTGGGTCTAGATATGCTGTCCAGGAACTAAGGCCTGGAATAAGGGTCTTCCAGAGTCTGCTTGGTACTTTATTTTACCATGGCTGAACTGGTACCCAAGTTGCAAGACAAAGTCCTCATATCTTTTATATGTATTCATGTAATTACTATTCCCAGTGTTTACTCCTTTGTACAGATCCATATTTCCAGTTTATATCACTTTCCTTCTATTTGAAGGCCTTACTTGTAGCATGGATCTCTTAGTGATGAATTACTTCAGCTTTTGAATGGTTGGAAGAGCATTTTGTTTTTGTTTTTTACAAATGTATTTTTATTGTGTTAAAAAATATGTAACATAAAATTAATCATCTTAACCATTTTTGAGTGCACAGTTCACTAGTGTTAAGTAGATTCACATTATTGTGTAACCAATCTCCAGAAGTTTTTCATATTATAAAACAGAAATTCTATACCCATTAAATACATCCCATTTTTTCCTACTCCCAGCCCCTGTCGACCACCACTCTACTTTGTTTATCCATTAATTTGAATACTCTAGGTAGCTCTTATAAGTGGAATCATAGAGTATTGATTTTTGTGGCAGGTTTATTTCACTTAGCATAATGTCTTTAAGGCTCATCCATGTTGTAGCATGTATTAGAATTCTTTCCTTTTTAAGGTTAAATAATATTCCATTGTATGGATATGCCACATTTTGTTTATCCATTAATCTACTGATGGCACTTGAGTTGCTTCCACTTTTTCACTATCATGTATAGTGCTGCTATGAACGTGGATGTGCAAACATCTCTTTAAGATCCTGCTTTTAATCTACCTAAAAAACCAAAAGACATTCTATAAAAAAGACACCTGCATTCGAATGTTTATAGCAGCACAATTCACAATTGCAAAGATGTGGAAACAACCCAAGTGCCCATCAATCCATGAGTGGATTAATAAAATGTGGTATATGTATACCAGGTAATACTATTCAGCTATAAGAAACAATGGTGATATAGCACCTCTTGTATTTTCCTGGATAGAGCTGGAACTCATTCGTACCTCCAAGTGAAGGTATCCCAGAGATGAAAAACAAGCACCACATATACTCACAGCAAATTGATATTAACTGACCAACACTTGAGTGCACATAGAGTAGTAACATTCATCAGGTGTCAGGCAGATAGGAGGGGGGAGGAGGGGATGGGTATATACACACCTAATGTGTGTAGTACACACTGTCTGGGGGATGGACATGCTTGAAGCTCTGACTCAGGTGGGGCAAAGGCAACATACATAACCTAAACATTTGTACCCCTGTAATATGCTGAAATTTAAAAAAAAATTTTTTTAAGATCCTGTTTTTAATTCTTTTGGATATATAACCAGAAATGGAATTCCTAGATCATATGGTAATTATATTTTAATTACTTGAGAAACTGCCACTGTTTTTCATACTAGCTGTACAACTTTTCATTCCCATAAACTACTTTAATTTTTAAACAGTATCTGTGCTGGGTATAGAATTCTAGGTTGACAGTTTTTTCCTTCATTATTTTAAAGACATTGCTCCACTGAGTTCTTGCTTGCATTGTTTCCAGTAAAAAATCTGATACTCTTGATTTATTTCTCTGTATGTAGGCTGTCATTTTTCTCTGGCTGCTTTTAAGATATTCTCTCTTGCTGGGCGCGGTGGCTCACGCCTGTAATCCTAGCACTTTGGGAGGCTGAGGCGGGAGGATTGCTCAAGGTCAGGAGTTCGAAACCAGCCTGAGCGAGACCCGCGTCTCTACCAAAAATAGAAAGAAATTAATTGACCAACTAAAAATATATACAGAAAAATTAGCCGGGCATGGTGGTGCTGCCTGTAGTCCAGCTACTCGGGAGGCTGAGGCAGGAGGATCGCTGAGCCCAGGAGACTGAGGTTGCTGTGAGCGAGGCTGATGCCATGGCACTCACTCTAGCCTGGGCGACAGAGGGAGACTCTGTCTCAAAAAAAAAAAAAAAAAAAGATATTCTCTCTTTATTTCTGGTTTTGAACAATTTGATAATTATATGCCTTGTTGTTGTTTTATTTGGGGTCTGTTAACATTTTTGAATCTGTGAGTTTAGAGGTTTTATTAAGTTTTGAAGATTTCTTGCCATCATTTCTTCAAATATTTATTTTCTTCTTCCTCATTTGGGAGTCCCAGTTGCCCACATATTAAGCTACCTAAAGTTGTCCCTTATTTCAATTCATGTTCTTTTAATCTTTTAAGGTTTTTCTCTGTGTGTTTTTAATTTTGGATAGCATCTTTGCTATGACTTCAGGTTCATTGATCTTTTTTTCCACAATGTTTAATCTGATATTAATACTATCCAATATATTTTGAATCCTAGACATTATAGTTTTCATCTCTAGAAGTTTAATTTGGATCTTTATATAGCTTCTATGCCTCTACTTAACTTTTTAAATGTATGGAACACAATTAGAAGAGGTATTTTAATGTTCTTTTCTGTTCATGCTCACTTCTATGTCAGTTCTGGGTCAGTTTCAATTGATTACTTATTCTCCTCATCATAGGTTGTGTTTCTCTGCCTCTTTGCATACTTCGTAATTTTTCATTAGATGCTAGACACTGTGAATATTATCAGGTTGGGTGCTGTAGTTTTGTATTCTTATAAATATTCTTAAGCTCTGCTCTGGGAAGCAATTAAGTTCCTTGGAATCAATTTGGTGCTTTCACATTATACTTTTATAATTTTTAGGTGAGTCTGGAGCATGGCTCAGTGTAGGAATAATTAATCCCCATTTCTGAGACAAGACCTTTCTGAGTTTTCTATACAATGCTCCATGAATTAGAGGTTTTGCAGTCTGAGAGGTAAGAACAAGCCGTATTCCCAGCCCCATGTGAGTCCTGGGCACTGTTTCCTCTAATATTCTTAGATGGTTATTCCCCCAGCTTTAGTTAATTTTGTTTCATGTATGTCCTTATTAGCACTCTGCTAAACACTGGAGGAAGACCTTGTAATCACTAGGTTTCTCTCTCTGTGCTATGTATGCACTCCTTCTTGATACCCTGTCGTATGAACTCTAGCTGCCTTGGTCTCCCTCAAGCCTCAGCTCCATCTCCTCAGATCAGGATGCCTGCCAAGCTCCACTTCAGTTCCCCTTCCTGTGCTATAGCCCGGAAACTCAAGGCAGTAAGCTGCACAATTGCAGTGCTCACCTTATTTCTTATCTCTCAGGGATCATTCTCTTTCATTGCCTGATGTTCAGTGTCATTAAAAACCATTTTTCTTCCTTTCATGTATTTTGCCTCATTTTTATTTGGAGGAGGTGTTGTTCAAGCAGGAACATAAGCCAATCCCTGTTACTACGTATTGATTGGTAGTGGAAGTGCACCACAACTATTTTTCAATAGTACATACCATTTGATTTATATATATAGACACATAAATGTACACAAAGATTAGAAGGAAATATATGAAAATTTTAAGAGTGATCTGATTATGAATGACTGTTCTTTGCTTTTTATTTTTAAAAAGCTTATCTTTAGTTTCAAATTTTTCTGTCGGAAATCTGGTTTGTTTTGCAAAGTTGTTTTTGCGTTTTTTAATTGCACCACAACTTTTTCTTTATTAAGACAAGGTCTTGCTATGTTGCCCAGGCTGTTCTAGAGCTCCTGGGCTCAAACAGTCCTCCTGCCTCAGCCTTTCAAGTAGCTGAGATTACAGACACAGGCCACCATACCCAGCTGCACCACAACTTTTTGTTTTTATTTTTGAGACAGAGTCTCACTCTATTGCCCTGGCTAGAGTGCTGTGGCATCAGCCTAGATTACAGCAACCTCCAACTTCTGGACCCAAGCAATCCTCCTGCCTCAGCCTCCCAAGTAGCTGGAACTACAGGCATGTGCCACCATGCCCGGCTAATTTTTTCTATGTATATTAGTTGGCCAATTAATTTCTTTCTATTTATAGTAGAGACGGGGTCTCGCTCTTGCTCAGGCTGATTTTGAACTCCTGACCTCAAGCAATCCGCCCGCCTCAGCCTCCCAGAGTGCTAGGATTACAGGCGTGAGCCACCACGCCTGGCCTACCATCACAACTTTTTAAAGGGAATAAAAACCCTCTGAATTTCTCAGCCCTCATGTTAAAATGAATTACATTCCTATATCTTAATATCAATGATGATATTTCCCTATACTGTAAGCTCCCATTGGGGAGGAACCATGTCATTGTTTTTTAATAAACTTCTGTACAATGCTCATTAACACTTTATATTATGAATTTTAATAAATATATAATATCCAAACACAGAGAGATTATTAAAGTATTGGATGCTCTATGAATTTATAGTGAACACATTTTTTTGGTGGAGTGGAGAAAGAATATAAAGAATGAAAACAGATTATTCTCAAACCTCAAAACTTATGGCAGCTTTTTTCCACAGAATGCTGTGTAACCAGTCTACTAATTCTGTGGTCAGTTGTTTTCCTGTTTGGTGACCTGAAGGAAAAAAACAAAGTTCTGAAAAAAAGAACCTAGATTTATTACATTAAATAAAGAATGCTAACTATACTCAGAACCTATACTCTTTAAGTAATGGCTACAAAAACAACCACATTCAGACAGGTTTTCATCATCAATTTTCGGTTTACTACTGTAATTGATTATATAACACAATCAGAGTTTGCTAGAATCACTGTAATTCTCCTATCAATCAGTGATAGTTTTCCAGCTTAGTCTCTTTTAAACTTATTTTCCATGTTTGATCATCATCTGGTGCCTTAATAAGGTTATTGTGAATGAGCAGACAGCAATGCCAGAAATCATTAATAAGAAGTGTTTATCCTATTCTGTACTAAATAGATCAGATCAAGTTCACAAGAAAGGCCAATTATACCTTAAAGCCTTTGTAAAATACTTTAAGCCTACGCTTACACATAAACTTTATTACTTTAAATCGTAACTTGTGTCTGATTGTTTCTGGTCTAGACGTTTACTGAGTTCAAATACATTAGCACATTAAGGAAAGTTTAAACTATAATAGAATTCTTCCCTTATCCCCCTTTCACATAAATTATCAATTTCCACAAAAGTCTTGATTAGAATGTTAAGAATCTCTGACTCCTTAGCCCAGTCAGCAAATGTAGTTTGTTCCATGACTTAGGTAAAAATACTCACATGAGAGTAAATAGCTACTAAATGTATCTACTTAAAATATTATGATACTTTGAAATTATAGGTGTATAATTAGATATCACAATAAAACTTTGTCTAACTGGGCTTTTAGGAAAAGGAGTTATTCTGTATAAGAAAGTTTTCTAGTTAGCTGACAGTTTCTTTAAACATAAAATTTTTTTATTTAAAAAGTCTAAATCTTTTCATGAAAGTTCTTAAATTTTTCTATAAATTAAATATACTTCTAGTTTTCTTAAGCACAATTTAACCTTTTCTTGACCACTCAAGTTCAGCAACAAATTGTTATAATAGTAACAACTATTTTACCTTATTGTACTATTAATAAATTACAATGATGCCTTTGGGGATTGTTATATAGTACAGATTGCTATTTTTTAAAAATAATATATAAATCTGTTTTATATAATTTGTAGAGTTTTTTCGTCCCTATGGTCAGGCTACCTGTATATTTCCCTGTAGACCCTTTTACTTTTTCTTAATATGCTACCATTAAAATGCTAAAAGTAGGAGAACCAGATATTATCAAAACTGGATCTAAAAATAGTTGAATTCTTAGTGAAGGTCTAGAGCAGGAGTGGGGAACCTGTGGCCTTCTGATTTCAAGATTGCTCATCCTTAAGCACTAAAGTAGAGAAGAAAAGCTTCATCTTTCTCTGCTGCACCCCTTTAAATAAAAGTATTTGTTCTGTAAAATTTGGATTCAGTCAAAAGGCCGCACTCAAGGGTCTGGAAGACCACAAGTGGCCCCCAGAGCCACAGGTTCCGCAGACTCTGGAGGGAGGGGGTCATCAGTAAAATATGGTTCATAGGATCTGGAGTTCATTAGTCAAATGCATTCCTTTTAAAAAATATCAGTCAATGACTTTGTTTCTATAAAAACATGATACATACTGTAAAAAATTCAAGCCATGTGGTAAAGTATAAAGAAGAAAGCAACACATCACCTAAAGTGCCACCATCAAAATAAACCCCAGTGATAACATTTGGTAGATATCATTCCAGTTATATTTCTACACATGTGTAGCACTGCAAGTATGAGGTGGTGGAGAGAATTTTCTAATAACGGGATCATACTATCTGTATTCTTTAGGGTCAACAGTTCTGCAGAGAGGTAGAGGAGCAGGGAATGCTGAGCAGATTTGGTTCCGCATCTCTGTTTTAACCAGAGAAGCTCTAATCCATTTTATTCAGGGTGTTCAAGTTCATATAAGATTGCATCACAAAAGGATGTTGCTGCTAAAAAGAAGTTTAAAAGCCAGGAATTTAGCTGAACATTGTGGCCCACATCTGTAGTCCCAGCTACTTGGGAGCTGAGCCAAGAGCATTCCTTGAGCTCAGGAGTTCAAGGCCAGCCTGGGCAACATAGTAAGACTTCATCTCTTCAAAAAAAAGTTTTTTAACCCAAGAAATTTAGTTCACAATCCTCATTTTATAGTTAAAAAAAAAAAAAACAAGATACAGAGATATTGACTTGCCCAAAGGCACACACATAATTTGAGATCAAACTTATAGACATGGGGCCGGGCGAGGTGGCTCACGCCTGTAATCCTAGCACTCTGGGAGGCCGAGGCGGGCGGATTGCTCGAGGTCAGGAGTTCGAAACCAGCCTGAGCAAGAGCGAGACCCCGTCTCTACTATAAAAAGAAAAAAATTAATTGGCCAACTAATATATATAGAAAAAATTAGCCGGACATGGTGGCGCATGCCTGTAGTCCCAGCTACTTGGGAGACTGAGGCAGGAGGATCGCTTGAGCCCAGGAGTTTGAGGTTGCTGTGAGCTAGGCTGACGCCACGGCACTCACTCTAGCCTGGGCAACAAAGCGAGACTCTGTCTCAAAAAAAAAACCAAAAAACTTATAGACATGAATTTAGGCTTGTAACTTCACATTTTTCCACTACACATGAACTTTAAGCTCAGAGGTTTGTCTGTTTTGTTGATATTTTGTTCTTTTTGCTTAGCTTCTCATTCCAGCTTGCCTAATTTCTGGGATCTGGACAGGTGAGGTGTTACTATTGAAGACCATGAGGGAGGAAAAAAAGTAGGTGAAATCTGTTGACCTGAGGATTATGCTATTGCTCTGACATCTATCTTAGAATTATATCCAGATTAACACCTTTCTAAAACACCTGCAAAAATCCTACTTACCTAAAATGATTTCTTCAATCTTCTCCTTGGCAAGTGGTTCTTCCTTCTTTTGTAAAAGCATGTCAATGTAGAGCACCAGAGCTTTTCCAATATTTTCTGATGACTTAAAATGTTCACAGATAATCTTCAGAAAATAAAACCCAACAGATTCTCTGTTCAAGAAGACACAATTTTAAGCAATATGAATAGAAAAACTGGTTTTTGATCAATGAGACTAAAATGTATTTCAGTGTGAGCAAAATAAGCCAGATGAAAGTATTTCTTGGGTAATGCTATGAAATGCTCAAATAAGCCTATTTATCATCAATAAATCATTTAATTTCAGTTTAATTATGCGATAAACATTTTATTTTCATGAACACCTATAATCAGATGATCATTTATCTCCTAATATCTAATTTGTGCTTTTCCCTAAAAACTGATGCCAAGTTTTAAAAACTGGTTACTGAAATCCAGTGAAGTTACACAAATAGATATGAGGTATGCATTAGTTCCTTCCACCAACAACTCTTTTCCCAAGGTGATCTACAGATTTACTGCAATCTTTATTAAACTATTAATAGCATTTTCTGCAGAAATATAAAAATCCATCCTAAAATTCAAATGGAATCTCATGGGACCCGAAAAGCCAAACAATCTTGAAACAAAGAACAAAGTTGGAGAACTAACATTTCCTGATTTCAAAATTTATCATACTATCATAATCAAAACATGTGGAACTGGTGTAAAAATAGACATATAGACCAACAGAAGAGAATAAAGAACCAGAAATAGATAGTGGCATATATGATCAAATTATTGTGACAGCTCCTGGGGAAAATGATGGATTAGCGGTGACTTCCTGGCTCTCTGCTCCCAGAGAGGGAGGTGAAGAACTCGGAGGGCTACACATTAGTGGATCGCTCTCCACCAAAAACAGTGTTGTGAAACTACAGAGAAACAGCGTGGGACATGCAACACAGGAAAAAAGGAAAAAGGTAAATGGGAGATATAATCGCAAAGTCTGCAGAGTGCAAGATAAACAATAGAGAACAGAGCATGGGATGGCCGTGTCCACCGGGCCAGCCAGTGCAGTGGGATCTGACCCACAGGAAGACACCCAGATCCTCCACTGACCTCCACACCCACTCAGACAGGGACATGCCTGAAGTCAGTACAAAGTCGTGGCACAGGAGGAGGGGCTCTGTGGAGAGGGGACAATAGCAGGAAACATTTTGAACTCTCCGGTGCTCTGTGCTAGGACTGCATTGGGTGGGGTAGGGACTGGTCTGAGTGGTCACTTCCCACAACCATGCTAGGGAGTTTGGAGATGGGCACCTCACTTTCGGTGGTCAGCGGGACCAGAACAAAGGAGGCGAATGCTGAAAAGGGGGCTCTGCCCCTGGAAACTGCTGATGATTAGGCCAGCACAGAAAGAGCAGGACCCTCTGCCAGACAGATGTGAGACTCTCTACTAAAAATAGAAAAAAAATTAGCCGGGCAACTAAAAATATATAGAAAAAATTAGCCTGGTGTGATGGCTCGTGCCTGTAGTCCCAGCTACTCGGGAGGCTGAGACAGGAGGATGGCTTGAGCCCAGAGTTTGAGGTTGCTGTGAGCTAGGCTGATGCCATGGCACTCTAGCCTGTCTCAAAAAAGAGAAATTCCAGGTTGAAACGGTTTCACAAAAGCATTCTGCCAAATATCCAAAGAACTAGCACCAATTCTATACAATCTCTTCCAGAAAACAGAATATTAGGGAATATTTCCCAATCATTTTTTTTTCAAAATCATTTTTTTTTATGAGGGTCAAAAAAACAGTGATTATGAATGAGCTGTGACCAGTTATGGAATTTTACAGGAAACATAACTGTGGTCAGCAGTCCAAGGGCGAGCACAGTGCCTTCAATTAATGCAATTAATGCACTTGGGCATACACCATTACATTTCTGGCAGAGTTCACACCCCCAAGAAAAGGCAAAGCTTAAGCATTTCATTTCTACATTCTAAACTCTGGAATCACTGAGCCCAGTTGAAAAAGAAAAGTCACAGTGGATAAGAAGAGATGCATATAAAAAGTTATGAGGTGTTCCTTTCAAATCAGAGGAGTTTGTGGGACTACGTTTTTTTCTTTTTCTTTCTTTCTTTTTTTTTTTTCCTTTTTATCAAGACAGTTTTACTAGGGTAATAAAGTCAAAGACAGCACAAAATAAGAAAATAATAGATCAATATTCCTCATGAATATAGATGCAAAGATCTTTTTTTTTTGAGGCAGAGACTAACTCTGTTGCCCAGGCTAGAGTGAGTGCCGTGGCGTCAGCCTAGCTCACAGCAACTTCAAACTCCTGGGCTCAAGTGATCCTCCTGCCTCAGCTTCCCGAGTAGCTGGGACTACAGGCACGTGCCACCATGCCCGGCTAATTTTTTCTCTATATATTAGTTGGCCAATTAATTTCTCTCTATTTTTAGTAGAGACAGGGTCTCGCTCTTGCTCAGACTGGTTTCAAACTCCTGACCTCGAGTGATCCACCCGCCTCGGCCTCCTGGAGTGCTAGGATTACAGGCGTGAGCCACCATGCCCGGCCAGGATGCAAAGATCTTTAACAAAATATTATCAAATAAAAATATTCAACATATAAGAAAATATATTCTGCACAGCCAAAGAAACTATCACAAGAGCAAACAGACAACCTACAGAATGGGAGAAAATATTTGCATGTTACACATCTGATAAAGGGCTGATAACTAGAATATCATAGTATAGGGAATATAAAATGGATATCATTTCATTTTATAGTCAATATAGAATAACTATAAATTATTATAATACCAGTAGGCATATAGACATCACTGATCTTCTGGTTTGGTAACCATGATCATTTTTCCACTTCAGGGTATGAATACTCTGTATATATAAAGTCACCTTTTCATTGAATCTTAATTTTAGGCTGTAGCTGAAGAACCTGGCTCTGGCTACAACTATTTGCAGTTGCAGAATTCACTCCACTATTTAGCTGGCTGATCTGCTATTATGAAGTCCCTCAAACCTTTAGCTTTGCCATACTGGTATGTACCCTTTAAAGCTGTGGTCCCCAAACTTTGGGCTGTGGCCCAGTACCGGTCCGTGGCCTGTTAGGAAACACGTGTATCACCACCTGAGCTCCACACCACTTCCCAGCAACCCACGACACCCACACCCCCACCCTCGGTCCCTGGAAAAATTATCTTCCATGAAACCAGTCCCTGGTGCCAAAAAGGCTGGGGATCACAGCTTTAAAGTTTGTGTGTTTATGTGTGCATCCAATTTATGGTTGTTAGACTTTAGGTCACAAACTAGCAGCTGAATGAGAATACTGCAATCACGAGCTAGAAGGAACCTTAAAGTCTATTTATTCCAAGCTCCTCCACCCCATCTCTTACTAGCCCCTTATTTACAGAAGCAACTGAGGCCTCATATTAGTTTTCCATTGCTGCTATAAAAAAATGACCACAAATTTAGTGACTTAAAACAACACTCACTTATTATTTCCAAGTCCTGTAGGTCAAAAATCCATGCAGGCTTGACTGGGAATTGTGCTTAGGATCTCACAAGGCTAAAGGTTATGTATTGGCCATCCTAGGCTCTTACCTAAGGAGTTCTGGGGTAGAGTCCACTTCCAGGCTCATTCAGGCTATTGGCAGAATTCAGTTCTGTGAGGTTCGAGAACTGAGGTCCCATTTCCTTGCTGGCTGTCCACTGGGATTTGCCTCAGCTCCTAGAGGCCACCTGCATTTCATGGCTCATGGCTCATTCTTTCTTCAGAGCCAGCAATGATGTGTCATTTCTTGTACTTTGAATCTATCTGACTTCCCCTTCTGCCTTTTTCTGTTTCTAAGGACTCATGTGACTATATTGGGCCCACCCAGATAATCCAGGATAACATCCCTATTTTAAATTCAACTGGTTAGTAACTTTACTTACATATGCAAAGTTCATTTTGCCATGTAAGGTAAAATATTCATAGTCCCAGAGATTAGTGTAAGGAAGCTCTCCATTATTCTGCTTATCACTGGCTCTGAGAAGCTAAATGACTTGTCTGAGGCCCCATGGTCATTTAATTTGAAGGAGGAACTCATTTCAATATACCACACATTGCCTCTTGCTGTCATTATGCTCACTGCTCATGTTAAATAGCGTTTTGGCAATCATCACTTCAATGCCTATAAATGGGCTCAGTGTTAGTAAAATTGTCCTGCAATTTACTCTTAGACATAGCTCACAAGTGATGCTGATAAAACTGCTAAAAAAGCTAAATGCAGCATCTTGATCATGTCCAGGGATGCTAGCCTTATATAAAATGGTAGACATAAATTCTATTCTGTAGACATACAGCTCAACTTGGAATGAAATATTGTATTATTTCTAATACATTTTCAGAAATAATAATAGCTAAAGTCTATTGAATACTTATCATGTGCCAGGAATTTTATATGAATGAACTTATTTAATCCTCAGACAACCCTAAGAGTTAAGTAATATTAATGGGTAGGAAACTGAAGCATAGTTCAAATTAAACTATAGTTTAAATAATTTACATAAGGCTATGCATCTGCAAACTGGAGGAACCAGAACTTGAACTCATGTAATCTAACTCTATACTCTACATTATTAACCATTATTCTATAGTGGATGAACCTGAGTTTAAAACAGTAGCTTGAGGCCACTATTTATCTCAAAAAATAATAGAATAAGTGCAAGAATAAATCCATAGCAGAGGCTGGGCGTGGTGGCTCACGCCTGTAATCCTAGCTCTCTGGGAGGCCAAGGCAGGCAGATTGCTTGAGGTCAGGAGTTTGAAACCAGCCTGAGCAAGAGCGAGACCCCGTCTCTACTATAAATAGAAAGAAATTAATTGGTCAGCTAATATATATAGAAAAAATTAGCTGGGCATGGTGGCACATGCCTGTAGTCCTAGCTACTTGTGAGGCCTACTTGTGAGGCTGAGGCAGCAGGATTGCTTGTGCCCAGGAGTTTGAGGTTGCTGTGAGCTAGGCTGACGCCACAGCACTCACTCTAGCCTGGGCAACAAAACGAGACTCTGTCTCAAAAAAAAAAAAAAAAATCCATAGCAGAGCTAGAGAACAAGAAAATATATTTTCAGTGGTCAGAAACTTTGATGAATTTCTATAATTA